CAGAGTGGGTTGGAAACATGTTCCTTTTCCTTTCTTTCCGCCGAGAACAACACGAGCACCCTTTGCAACAGCATCCTTGAGTAAACCGTCCAACTGAAAGAGATGTTTAGTCCCTTTTGTTCAGCAACAGACGATTGATTGTTTTTTATCAGTACTGGAGTGATTATCACTTGCCTTTTTAATAGCAGCCTCATTAATCATGGGGCCGATTGTTGTCTTCGGATTCATTCCATCTCCGACCACTAAGCCTTTCATGGCAACCGTCATTTTTGTCACAAAGTCATCGTGAATCTGAGGCATACCTTATTCAACTTTGAAAGTTCGAAGATTAAAGAGAGCATGGCTATGGAACCGGGCAAAGTATAAACATTTGAACATACCTTTTGCTGGACGAGGAATCGATTTGCTGCCACACAAGTCTGGCCAGAACCACGAAACTTTGCCGCCATAGCTCCCTGAAAATATAAACAAAACGTCTATCGTGAAAAACCTGTTCTCCCCAATTACGGCTGTTGGTATACGAGTTGAATCTGATAGAAAACTCTACATTAGATGCAATGACAAATAAGTAAACAAGATCAATAACATACCTACCTTAACTGTGACATCTAAATCAGCTGAGTCAAATACCATGAAAGGGGCAGAACCTCCAAGCTCCAAACACACTCGCTTCACCGTCGACGCCGATTGGGAGAGCAGGAGCTGAATAAGCACACTAAACAACAATGTAATAAGTATTGTGAACGAAATAAATCATTAGAGCTAGAATTTCCACCTTCCCTACAGCAGTGCTTCCTGTGAAGCTTATCACATCCACATCAGTGCTTGCACAGAAATATTTCGACATCTCTGCAGTATGTTTGTGATCTGCAGTTACCACATTGAAAACACCAGCTGGAAGTCCAGCTTCTTCAGCGGTCTGCGAAACTTCCAATTAAAATTGATTCATAGGATAGAAAAAACAGCCTTCATCACATCCGCATCTCTCGCTGCTCGGCAAAAAAAAACTAACCTGTGCTAAAGCAAGTGCACTTAGAGGGGTGTCATGAGCTGGCTTCACAACAAGTGTACAACCGGCAGCCAATGCAGCTCCAGCTTTACGTGCAATCATTGCTGTTGGAAAATTCCACTGAAATCGCTATAAATCACTGAAGCCCTTCTCTTCAAACCTTCCATCATTACGATAAGCAAGCTGCAGTACCAAAACACGTTGAATTTTATCAAAATCCATCTCAAAACAATAAATTTAGTGGTCTCAACATGGAAATCAGAACGAACCGGAGTGATTAAGACCCCGACGCCGATCGGTTCCCTGATGTGGACGTGCTCCCTATTGAGTACAGCTGGAGTAACAACCTGAAAGCTTCATATTTGGCTCTGCCCTGAAGAACAACTCAAAGTGGACACATGCAGCAAATGTAAAGAATTATCCGTCTCATTGTGGAAGCCCACAAACCTGTCCATAGATCCGTCTCGCTTCACCGGCATACCAGTCAAGAAACGCAGCGGAGTACCCGATTTCTCCTCTGGCATCAACGAGCGGTTTTCCCTAAACTGGGACATCTCAGAAGTTATTCGCCTACAAAGAACAAAAACTTACCTGTTCGAGTGTTAGAAGCCGAGCAAGTTCTTCCTCTTTCTGTACAAATATATCAAACCATTTCCTTAAAATTGCACCACGTTGCTTGGGAGTTGTCTCCAACGACCACTTTTTGAACGCCTCTTTCGCAGCAGCAACAGCCTACATATAAGCAAAGTAACACAGACTATCCCAGAAAGAGCCTTATCCCAGTTACGGGTAAACATTTTCTTCAAGCCCCTACCTAAAGTAGTAAGGTGCCATATTATCATCAAGCTCCTGCCTAGTTCGGAATACCCAAATATGAAGAACTTTTCGGGGAACCCTTACCAATTTGGCTTCGTGTAGATCGCAATTGGTGGTTTTATAGAGCAAGTCTCCGGTATAAGGATTGAAGACATCAAATGTGCTTTTATTCTTGGAGTTAACCCATTCGCCTGAAACGAAATGTTCAGTTGAATGATATCAAAAACTTATGCTAAAGAAATTTACCATTGATATATGCCAAGGCTCCCTTTGGAAGTAGTGGTGTAGAAAATGTTGATGAAAATCGTAGTGAAAACAAGGAATATCTCGCACTCAGCATAACTACAAAACAACTTGTAAATTATATTGACAGAGCGCTGATACTATATGAGAAGTAGAAGAATAAAGGGCCCAACCCAAAGGAAAATCTTTCGCC